TCATGTTATGACTGTAACTTTGGTAGTTAATAACAATGCTATCATTTCATTAAAGGCCGGGAAGCTCTATTATATATTCCGTAGTATAAAACACGTTGTTGTGAATGCCTTCTTAATTTTGTAATATATAGCATATCATTTTCCCATGTATGCCTTCCAGCTGGTGTGTTAATGTAAAGGGCTGCTAAATTTAGACATGCTGATTCATAGGTCATAGGTAAAATATTTTACTTATGTTGCAACGATGCAATCATTACATTGCATGTTTGTCAAAATAGTACCTGTCAGTACGTCCTTTAAAAGCTACCCAGTTGACCATCCATGCCAGACTAATGCTATGAGGTTAGCATAAGGACACAGATTAGATTGCCCACTCTGTGAAGGCCTATACACACGCGAACCAATCGGCGCACTGTTTTGGTAAGTACATCATTGTCCACCGTGATGGCCGACCGGGTAGTCGGTATGGTCGCCCATTACAGCCAGCAAACCGTAAACCAAAGTCAAAATGTGATATCACTAATCATGTCGGGAATAAACATGAATGTCATAGACTTAAAACAACATAAAAATGAGATAAAAAAATGGTCGTGATGGTTATGTTGACGTCATTACAATAGTCCAAGACTTGTCGAAGTTTTTATTTCGTACATACAACGAAAACTCATTTGCAATGTTATACGATTCATTATTAAACAATCAAGAGGTAGATGATAAAATGAATATCTATCCAGCATAAATCTAATACATCGAGCACGGAACAGTCTCATGAAGGACCCGGTGCCATGGCCGAAGAATACGAATTGGAATCTTTACCCGTCTGATAATATTTGTGAAAAGTTCCTTCGGAAAACAAATATCCATTGCGGATTTTTATGAAGACAATATTAAAATATCTATTAATAAAAAAAAAACTAAAAAAAACAGTGTTATGAGCGTAAATATGCAACGGCGCCAGACCGTGGTTCAAACCTTGGACTTCTGATCAGAGTACGTTCACTCTGACGATTATCCAAAACGAAATTAAGGGGAGGTACCTGCATTCATGAAAGGCTAGTGTTTAAGTGTTACACAATAGGGAGAGGCCCTTCGTATTAAAATAACTCATCTGTCACCACACAAGGAGAATTTGACACAAGGATTGCATTCAAACTCAAGAAGACACAAAACAAATAGAACGTAGCATCCAGGTGGCCGAATGTAATTACCTCAGAGGGATAGGGTCATTATGTAAGACACGCGTCATGAAATCACGTATAAAATTAATTAAAAACATATCCCATTGATTTTTGGTTACATTTCATCATTTGAAATATATGAGCATTTAGATAATATTTCAAACACCAGATACTTTTAAAACTTCCCATAAATACCACTGAACGTACAGTCATATCTATCAAACACATGGTAGAATAATACAAAAAGTCAGTTTTGCTCTTAGCATTGATCCATTTGAAGTAGGTGTAATTACTGATATCTATCATATTGACTATATGTGTCTATATACATGTATGTTGTTAATTAAGTTAGTCGTGGGACACAAATTGATGCAAAATTAATGTAGCATTGGCCATTGCTCTATATTAGGATAGGGTAACGACCAGAGTCTTAGTTACATTAAATTTTGAATCCAATAAGCGTTCAAGCAACTGATGGTAATGTAGCGTATTTGACACATACTTTGTACTGCATGATTCCAGTTTATATTTTAACGAAAGTGAGTAGTTTATAACCAATCAGATTTGACGTTTCCCATCCAATGAATGGTGGGGGCGGAACGCATAGATCTGGTGTATCCCAAGGCGAGGTTATCTTAAGAGGCGCCTAATGTGGTGCCTACAGCAGAATCGGGTCCTTTCTTCTTTTGTCGTCTGCCTATTATTAGGGGACAAAAATAATCTGGTCACTCCCCCCATTGTTACACCTGTGATCTATATCGTCTCTGTCTTCATCAGTGGTGTCTCCAAGGGCATTCGTCTCCATCAGAACTTAGCTCTTGTCAGGACGTTGAATCAAGAACATATATAAACTTGCTCGATATATCTTTGCCTTTATGCAGTTTTTTCTTTGCGTGTGAGTACAGGAAAATTTAGCAATCAATTTTGTCTGAAACCTAAGACATCAGTGATGCTCTTTGTATTTATAATTATGTCCTGTATAACTTGTTTCAAGCGTGTGTACGACCGGGAGCATCCTGTACTCTCGACTCCGCCTAAATATACGACAGCTATGAACAGGAGGGTTATAAAAGAACAAAGGACAAGACGTTTACATAGCTTTTATCGAGTGAAGCTAATGTTAGCTTGTGTTTCAAAATACCAACAAAAATCATTTATGATCACCTCATCAAATGATTTTGAATTATTCAAGGTAATTTCTCAAAGTGATTCTAGACTGCTATAGTCCGGATTCAACACGTCCTTTAGTCCTATCGGTGTACATGTACACTAGGGTACACGAAATTTACATTATCCATAAGTTTAATCGATTTAATCCGTATGCAATATATGATTTGTATACAGTTTTACATTTTTGAAATTCACAATTTTACAATTAATCCATAATATAAAAATAACTTACACATATGTTTTTATTGCGTGGATGTTATATTTTTGATATATATTCGTGTCCTTTAAACAAACGCGAGGTGCCATCCTGATGAAGAAATTGTCATTACTATCGACATTTTATGCTGTTGTGTTACATTCCAAACATAATATTTTAGTGAGCAAAGAAAAACCACGAAAGTTTTATCCCGCGGAAGTAAAGCGCAATACTGTATCATAAGATTTTTAAGTAACTACAAATTCCAAAAAAAACTTTTACAAGCTATATTGAGTTTGAACATATCGTGCTCTTCTCTAGGGAATACTCCACTTAACCGTTGTCTAGGTGAGTATACTCGGATTTCAATACGGGCAATATTCCTCCGCACACGACTGTAAGTGGGTCTGCTTGATAGGACCATAAAAGACGATACAGGAATCCTGCATGACCGAACTCGGTCACCTCTAGTTTCGTTAGAGGTGAGGAAGCTCGTATATCCCGAATGGAACGTGCATAGAACAATTTAAATGAAAACAATCAAATATCTAATTCTGGCCTATAACTAAAACACCGTCGACTTTATAACTCTGCAATCGATCGCCTAATTTAAGTCGACAGTTTCTTTTTCTCCTTGGTGTCACGTGATCACGTCAAAATATGTCATATTGCTTTCCCAGACGATGTAAAAACGCTAACATGTACACCTATATGAGACGAAATGACTTATGTTTACACTTACAACACCTAAGTGCACGGAAACGTTTCTTCCTAATGTGCTGATAGACGGAGTTACATTGGTACTATCCTTCATGCATGCCATTGTTGTATCCGTCTAACTCGCATTCATATAAATGAGATATAACTCTAACTTAATATCGGATATCGATATATATGCTTCATTTGAATATAAAACTGAAATTGTCGTATTGGTTGTCACGTGTGTTGCTGAAACGCTAACTTTAGGCGGAATAACGAAGTCTTTCTGTGCTCTTTGGCTAGCGGTTCATGACGGTTTCTTTTTGTTTTTGGTTTTGCTCGGTTCTATATATTCCCCTCATGTATGCTGCAATTTGATAGATTCCATTTAGATGTGTTTTCTGACCGTTATGTCAGAGATATTACACATTTTCTTACAAGAAAACAATAGCATCAGTGATTATTTTTTTTATCTAGACTAAGTTACTTAGTTTATATAACATTCCCTCTCGAAGGTGAAAAAGGATGCAATACATTCTCGTCAGTTCATCTGGATGATTAACAACATCTACATGTGTGTTGGTGCATAGCTGGTTTTGTTTGGATCAGCCGACCGCTGCATGCGTCTTTCTTAAGTTAAATTACCTGTAATGATACACGCTTGTATTTCGTGTCCTATGTGAACATGAACTCCTGCATGTTTAAATGCGTCGTCTGTAATTGAGGGATTAAAAGTCAATATATGGTACACAACCCAGGGAGGGTAAGTACTACCCGTTTATGACCCCCAATCATGTCTCACTTGGACTTTAACCAATGTCATGTTTCATATAGAGTATTTTCTCTTTTAGAAGCGATTTTAATGATAGATGACAGCATTTGAAACATTCTTTGTTGTTACAGAGACTCCAACCCAATTTCTTCACTTTTACCACCTTCGTTGCCTTTGAAGGCACTTGATTCAAAATGATATATTTCACGTGTGAGTGACCGCCGAGATCTTGTTTTCATTTCTCCTGATAAGAACAATTTAATTCAGGAAACTTTAAAGTCATGTATAGGATACATATATATGTATACGTGTAACAGAGGTGTAACAGAGTATCATCACACGAAAGACAATCAGAACTCAGATAAGATGGAAAAACATAAGGAACTTAGAACACTGAATAAAACAAACGGAACGATTCGTGAAACTCCAGAACAAAACTGAAGGTAAAACAATGTGATATTAGATGTCCAATCAAGCCGTCACTGGCTATGACAAAGGACACAATACTACGGTGATATTAGATGTCCAATCAGGCCGTCACTGGCTATGACAAAGGCCACAATACTAAGGTGATATTAGATGTCCAATCAAGCCGTCACTGGCTATGACAAAGGACACAATAATAAGGTGAATACACATGGTACAGCAAAGCAAGTGGAGTGGTCACTTGTAATAAGTATCATCTTTTCCTGCACCGACAGACAGATAATTACTTCCTCAAATGTAAGTGTTTTATGGGAATACACATTAAAATAATACCCCTGTGTGTTCTAACTTAACCGAAAACAATCCTTCTAAATAAACGTTTAACTCAAATCAGTACCAAAGCGAATCTGAGACAACGAAATAAGAAAGATACAAGGATGTATTCAAAACACAATGAAATACTACTCTACGTACGCCTCACCCGAATACACACTAATGAATAGGCCACAGATGGTTTGCACTGAGGGCGCTCCATACTTACTACCCTTAAGTATAAGAACACACCTGGTACCGGGTGGCTCTGTTTCCCTTCACTGCTAGGTGTATCCCATGTCTACAGACTTTTTCCGCGGGGAAGAAGGAAATAATTTTAAAAAATTGACCTAATTATCATCTGTAAATTATCTTAGACACTTTTCGAGATATTTGGAAAATATTTGCTTTTGGATAGTTTAAACAATTTGTCAGCGTGATGAAGTGTACCTATTTACTTGTGCAGTTATTTGGAGTGTTTCATGTCATTAGCGAGGCGGCGGGTAAGTAACAGATACGATCTTTTTTAATATCCTAGCATTATACTTTATGATTTGATATGCATCCACTTTTATTTAAAACAGTTTTAAACAGTTTTCCTTGTAATTTTTTATAGTAACTATTTTACAAATATATGTTTTCAGATAGCTGTGAAGTTGAAATAGCACGTTAAAACGATAAACCAATTTTAACGCATATCTGTTAAAGTTTGCAATGGTCAAAAAGAGAAATAGATATAAAAGATACCATTTCATCATATCTTTACTAAGGTAATAGTTATGAAATTTCCTTTTAAAATCTTATAAGTAAAATATTACGTTTTCATTTTAAGGTACGATTCCTGTTTGTACATCTCTTTATAGTCGGAAAACATTCATGCTACGCCATTGAATACCTGTTTAGAATTTAAATCATGTAATTACTCGCATCCATAAATACAAAAATTACATAATTCTAAATCTGTTTTCACTACCCTAAACGCTTATTTTGTTTTGTGAGTGTATACCCATTACTTTCTGCGTTAAAATGTGCAGCTCTAGGATAAAGGAATGACTAAATGATTCACTATCGCACATTCAAATCAAATGTCAAAAATAATATTTTTCAAGCACAAAGATATATGAAAACGATAGCACTCGTGCATACGTTATTCTTTCAACAATAGTATTTAATGCCTTTGTTATGCTTTTCGTCTTAATGGTTTTTTAATGGAATTTTGAGAAGAAAAAGTATCGGCAGCAGGCGTTGAGCAACGATCCAGTCGTAATATCCTTTGTTAACAGACATTAAAAACATTTCTTTTCTATATTGTTGTAATGAACATTATAAAAATATGTACATTGTTTTTGGAGTGCTTACAATCAGAACTTACAATCAGTGCTTACAATCAGGACTAATTTAGTTATGATTCTAACTCACTACGTTCAACCGAACATAAAGCATTTATCATATAAAACTCAACACCTATGTATGGGAGTGGCCTTCGACGGTCAACCATTTTATTAAAGGACAAGTACATGAAATACAAAGGGCACGTGCCCGATCCTTCTTCCCTTCTCCCTTCTCTTCGTCCTGAATCCGGGTCCTGGCAGACGCTAGGAATTCCTTTTCCAGAATCTTCCCTGGAGTTCGTGCCTGTCTCAAGGAAAACGGGGAAGTTTCATAATTCTATGGTTTAACAAAAGGAAATATAATTTCTTGAAGTGAATCGTTGAACCGTCAAGACTCGAATGGCTATGTTACCCTCATATCTGGACACTAGTACACCCTGTACTTCTACCTGCACAACATATACATTACGGTATACCGTGACTGTAATAATTACATGTATAATGTGTTAGCCAGACAAGGCATTTTAATGGAGAATGCCCAAGCCTGAGGTTTGTTAGGGATTAGGCTTACCTCTTTCAAAATAGCATGCCACGCTAGCTAGTTTGGTATGCTAATGTAAATGATTGCTTCTTTTTTGTCTCTGTCACTCAAGACAAACATATTCAGAAATAATTCCATTGGTTTAACTGCGTATTATTTCAATATAGATCAAACAATACAATACACATTGTCATAAATATTCCCTCTTTTGGTTTACCTATTAAATCGATGGAAAGTTGTGCTGCAAATTTTGCAGTATTTCAGTTAATTTTTATCGGGTTATCGAAAAAGTAGATGTTGTTTTTGTGTGTTAAAATTATGCAATGTGCTGTAGTTGTGTGTTTACAATATGGTCCATGTTGTTGTATGTTGACATTAAGGCGTGTATTGTAGTGTATTGACGCAATGGATTATGTTGTCGATATCTTTTGACGCTGTGTTGTATATTGTATCGTGTTGACGCTATGGTAGATGTTGTCGTTATGTATTGACTCTGTGTTATATATTGTATCGGGTTGACGCTACGGTAGATGTTGTCGTTATGTATTGTCTCTGTGTTATATATTGTATCGTGTTGGCGCTACGGTAGATGTTGTCGTTATGTATTGTCTCTGTGTTATATATTGTATCGTGTTGACGCTACGGTAGATGTTGTCGTTATGTATTGACTCTGTGTTAAATATTGTATCGTGTTGACGCTAGGGTAGATGTTGTCGTTAAGTGTTGACGCTGTGTTGTATATTGTATTGTGTATATGTCCCAATTTTTGACACATTGCAAGGTATTGTAAAGATATACATTTCCCCGAATTAAATAGCATTTGATTATTTTGATTTTTAAATAAGTTGTGCCGCTTAAATCTAGACCATTAACTGGGGCATACGTCATTCAGCTCTGGTGACTATTTTGCGCGCGCTCTCTCTCCACTTCTCCCCAGCCAACATCCAACATCCAAAAACGGAAACGGATCACCTTCTACCTTCCACTCCAATTAGCTCTCCAAATAGAAAATCTTGTTACAATAAATAGAATAGGCTTATAACATTATAAACGTAAAAAAGTGTTGGATCTACCGTAATTTCAGTTTTCCCATGTGATTTTCATAAGATTAGTTTAACCTTTTATGTACGAATGTTATCTATCCAATTCCTGTCGTATTTCAAATGATTAACTTCAATTATGATTTCGTTATCAGGTATGTATATAAATGATTGGTACGATTCAATCCATTTACAACGGTTTTATGAATTTAATAAATAGGTCACTATTATTTATTAGCTCAATCTTCAGCCAAGCATTCCCCTGTTGAAATGATATCAATGCATCTTCAACGTTTTACTAAACTTTCAGTAACCTTTGACCGACAGTTTATGGCTAATAGAATCAAACAAGTTTATGACAAGTGTAAAGGGTATCATTCTCAATAAACATAATCATACACTGAAAACACGCATATTAAGTAAGGTAGATGAGAGTTAATGTACCATGTAGCGACCCGCACCACCAAGTCAATTCGCTTGATTGGTGTGATGTTGGATGTCATTCACCCTATCGGAGGATGTATACACTTTCCTATTCAGTGTTCTCTGAACAATCAAAACTCTATTAGAATGTCAATATGTGTTGAGGGCCATTCACTTCAGCCTATTGGTAATCGTCGACCTTGACGTATGATACATAAGGTGTTCTTATTTCGTGCATAATTCATAGACGATCGCATGGGAAAAAATGCAACAATCCTGCCGTTTTGGGCTGTAATCCAACAGAAAGGTCACTTCCGCTGTTTCTGTGTATAAGTCTGTTGAGTTTTATTTTGGCTGGATGAGATTTTTAATTGCTCTGAAGGGGTGTATCGAGAAGATTTTAGCCTGACCTTGACCTGAAAAGGTTGATATAATTATACTAGTTTCTCATAGGATTGATTTCCATGTGTCATGTTATCAAGGTAGGACATACGGTAATATAGATATAATTATGTAATACATCGTCAGTAAACAATGACAAATCAGACGCAAAAACAGAAATAAACACCCAAACAAAAGGCATTAAACACCCAGATACAATATAATGTTCTCCGTAAACATAAAACATTTCAGGACCATAGGTAGAACCTACAATGACGTCATATCCAGAAAAGTGTGAAAACCACCAACGACCTACAGGATAGGTTTTTAAGGATACCTGTCTCACTGCATCGTGGTGATTTATATATACCGTAACCTCCTCTTAACCTCGCTTAGGTTAGAGCGACAGTCTATCAGTATGAGGTCCAGGGTTGGAATCCCGTTAAAGCCCCGCTGCCTGTTTTACAATGGTTCTTGATTGTACTTTGTTTATTTCGTCTTTATCATTTCTCATAAAAATCAGCACGATGTGGTTTTCTTTTTATAAATGTTTTAGCAAAGCTAAAGTCATGCCGGAAAAACGATTTCCAACACTTGGTGTCAGTTTTTCCCACTTGAACACCTGCCTACCATGCGTATTTTGTAGGAAATTTAAGATGACTTTTTTATTGTTTTGTCTTGTCGCTTGGTTTTGTTGTTTTGTCACCTTTTCAGTTCCTGTTGCTTTCTTGAGTTTATTGTCCCGGTTGTTTGTAAGGAGTGTTTGGGACGCAGCTCAATAATTCACTTGCCACTTGATACTATAGTATTTTATTTGGTTTCAATCTGGCCAAGTTCACATAAAACAACCATTACTGTAGGCTACCAGATAAGAAAGAATGCCATGAAAATACTTGTAAGTTATCTGATCGTAAGTTTAGAAATTGGATCACCGGACTATTGATTTAAAACCAAAGAAACGACATTTTATACAGCCGAAGACTGACTAGTACAGCGTGGTTAAGACTGTGGTTAAGACTGTGTATAACCATGTTGTTATTAAAAAAAAAGGTCATCGTTTCTAAGTTGACTTTGATTTTGACGAAAACAGTCTCTGGCCGACAAAATTCGTACAGCGCTTGGTAGATATTCTATATTGTACAATATCAATCTCGACCATGTTGCATTAGCTTTTCGAATTTGTTTTGTGTGTAATACCATATGACTAGAATTCCTTGTTCGTCGAAAACCACAAAAATAACGCTTCCACTAAAAATAACCTGGGGATAGTATATGTGATTAAACAGTTTAGCTAATGGTAAAATATATAAAATATCTGTGTAAACAATTTTTTATGGCAGGTGACGGCAGTTTATATCTAGATGCCCCGTTTGTTCAGTATCCTCACAGAGTATGGCGTTTCAAGTGCAGCTCATTAGCAATTGAATACACGTTATAAAAAATCGACATACGTTAATATATTTTTTCGTATCGCTCTTCACACCTGAACGAAGGCTAGTATCCATCAAGGAACAAGAAATAGAACTATACAAGTACAAAAGATAATATTTTGATATGTACGACATCAAAAGTGTTGAGAGGTCAAAGCCCATGCGTTAAGTTTAGGTACACAGGCCAGAGTATGATTTTCTTTAATCGTTAGTATACTTAAGTTGTAATATATACATAATTGATCCCAATGTAAGCATAGTTGATCCTTCTTAAATGTTTAGGCTTAAGGCGATTCAAGACCAAGTTCCACATTTTCAACTGATCGGGTCAACGAAATACTTATTCTCCTTAAAGGTCATTTCATGTGAGGTCTCATTTTGTCTGTCCGCTCTTCCCTCTTCCCGACTGACCATGTATTCACAGTGGTCATTCTTGCAGCTCTAATGAGACAGATAGCGTTCGCTAGATTGTACAGGACATAAGTGATGGTCAATTATAATAGAAAACGCTGAGATTGCAGATTTAGATCTCTGAAGAGTTCACACTTTAATTCCATAGTTAGTTATTTGTAAGAGTCTTCGTTAAAAGTGCCTTTGGTGTAGTGAGAAATGTTTACCCTTCACTATCTCATGGTCTCTCTAGTTGTTTTTTGGGAGGGTGAATGTTATTGTTACTTTACGATATCTCGAAGATTTGATTTCTTATTTCGTCATCAAGTATGTTCACACTATACACTTAGTTCCATGTCATTTAATATACAGTTAATATTTTTATCACATTGAGTATTATTGTATTTTGGAAAATTCGTCGAAGAAATTCACAGTAGTTCACGTTCTACTTTTATATTTTTGATTATACAACTGGCGTAACAAAGGTAACAGATTGTATGTGCAAAGTCAAGCCATCTTAAACACAAATAAATATCACCGTCAGATATATACTTGATGTACACCGATGCAGAGAGATATTTTAATATTGAAAATTACCGCAAAACATTATAGCTACAGTACTAGTGATGATACAAATGGGTGCATTTTATTGTGATTTTATTATCTTTAACTTTGTAGTTCTATGGAATAAACTAAGTGCACACTGATAACTGTATAACAAACAATCAGACAAACTCATATGTATATATATTATGTAGTCACAATAATATTCCATATTTAGATACGGATTTTGATTTGTCCCTTAAAACTACTGATTTGATCACGCGACAAATCAGTTAACCACGTGATACATCAGTAAACCACATGGCATATCAAGAAAGTAAACGATTTTCACTACATTGCGTTGTGATTAAACATTTATCCAAATCTGATACATTTAAGATAATTGTCCATGTTCTCTTTTTTATATACATCCTAACAGAGAGGTAAATTGTATTTATTTTTAACATAACAAGTAAGTTGTTAATTGTACAATTTATTGAATATAATTACACACTTTATATTGATACCTTCCACATACCTTCTGCTCTCTTCATTGACAGCACACGACGAGACGACTATATGTGTTGTTAGCCATGTAGCATGTATTGTGTTGAATATTTTCTTTTATCAGAATCACAAAAGCAAGGCCCTCTACATCTTTGGAATACAAATATTTCGTTTTCGATATATCTGTGTTCTCATCAGCAATAAAATATGTCATGACAAAATGGAGGGATAAGTACTCGCCATCTTGTAGATGATACGACTACCTGATACGGGTCCCTGCACATCTTTGATCTTCTTTCAACGACATCAAAAGAATCAGGTGGCGACGTGAATATCACATTGATCGCCTTTAGGTAGCTCATCAGGTATAAGCCTAGCGATTAGTCGGATTTTATTTCTATATCTGAAACCAATCTAATTGTAAACTGTGAGCTTTCCAAATCTTCAGGGAAAATATAAGTGTACAGAGCTGATTGGTTTATCGAAAGCGAAGGCCTTAGATTTTGGACCTTGTCATTTCAAAAGGTTTTTGTCAAAGTATGGTGTTGCAGAGTAATAATTATTGTAGTAAGTATAAGAAACAATAGAGTTTGCTTAAACATAAGATAAAAACGTCAGAACCTTCGCTAAACTGAATTGGCATCTGGTTTTCACTTAAATAATCTACAACGAACGACAAAAAGACATTCGCATGGTTCGAACTACATTGAAGTAAATGTTCTCGTTGTAAATGTCGTTGTTCACAGCAGTAGAAACTTGAGTCATAACATTATGTAAATACAAGGATCACTTACGATATAAAAGGACACCCGGTAAAATCTCAGTATCTTTAGACATTTATAACGTTTAATTGAAGGAACTAAATAATCAAAATGAATTTATTTTTGCTGTAATAAAATGTTAACCCATTAAAGGTCACAGTATTTTAACAGACTTGAATATAGTATTGCATGTTAAAGACGGTATCTTTAAAGAGCTGAAAATAGCATTATTAAATTCTTCATTTTTGAAAGATTCATATCTTTACCACTTAAAACATGATGTGTTTAACTTATAAATCATGGAACCTATACAGCGCAATACTATCAGTTGTTTAAGTGTACACATGCTAATTAAACACCGTGTTAGACGATCTCTACATTAAACTCTACGGGACAGGAGCACAGTATGATGGTCCGGAGATATTAGACCACGCCAAAACTAAACGATCAAAGGTATCGACCTTGAACAAATGGGTTCAAAAACAGTATGTTTAACTGTGTCGTATTTCAACAATTTGCATACTTTTTATTTGTGTGAACCTCCAATGAATTAGTAACGGTACACAGGTAGTTTACATATCTTACTATACGACCAATATGGGCCCGCCCGTATTGTCTATAAATCAAAACTATGCGCCAGTGATATTATATAGGGAGTCAGAAAATAAGGAACGCAAGTTTGTATAAAACGAATTACACAAAAAATCAGTATATGGGGCGAGAAAGAAACTGCAACAGTGTATACAACATAATGTGAAAGTTTCAAAGCCATTCGCACATTTATCACGATACATAACAAAATCACACGGAATAATAACATGTTACGACAAAATATTGAAATTAAGAAAATTTAACCTAATGACTAAAAAACGAAGATTTAGGCTAGTGAAGCCGAGAGGGTAGTTACTACTTACATCATATCAAAATCGAAGAAACTAGAGCATATATATTTAAACAAACAAATAAATGATGTATATAGAGACAGTTTAAAAGATACAAGGAGGATAAGACAAGGTGTTCCAGAAGCGCAAGCGTCTACTAGTTGTTATGTTAACCTTGGTCGAATAATGTCACATCTTCATAAATGAACAGGAAAATAACAATTGTCGCAATCATAAGTCAAATGATAAAATCAATGTTAGCATCAGCTCGTAAGTATCATTAATATGGCAAAGGTAAAAAAATGGTGAAACGGCAAATCACTAATAAAATTGCGTTCCCCACGTTTGTCGCCTAATACGCGATTATCTTTTTGATAACCAAATTTTATTTTCATGAACAAAATTGATACCCTTCGCTTTTTAGTGGAAGGGGTATTGGCAATAGCTAGAGAAATATTAGAAATATAACAAATAAGATCCAAGAAAAGTGAGATTGTAAGATGTGTTAATAGGAAGTTTTTATTTTATGTGATTTATGCATATGCACTTTTTAATACCATGTCTTGCTATAATTTTGTAAGTTATGTCGTTACTGGCTGTGACTATAACAGGTGATATGTATCGGGTTAATCAACAACTTGTTTTTATCATCTACACAATCTGAACCCATTAATTTTAAATCCTGTTGATAACAAACGTGTACATGTTTTGCATGACCGAGTTAAGATTAACTTCACAATGTCATTGCAATAAAGATATCTTTTTTTAGATTTTATCATTACAATGAGTTAATGCAGTGCTCCTTTGTTGTTTAGTACTAACAGTGTGACTAATGGAGACACGTTACAGGCTACTTCCTGTTTTAAGTATGTTTATATAACAAAGTGTAATGATGGTCCACAAAACAATGGAGTATCTTTAGCTAAGGTTGATCTAAGTTGACATCGTATAGTCAGAATATTGTCATCACGTGTTTCTGTTTTGAACTGCTGCTGTTATCATTTTAATCTAAGAATTTTTTTGTTAAAGATTAAACGAAGATTCTTAACAAAACAATATTTGTTCAGTTTAAAAATATTTCTCAGATGTACATGCATCATTTTGAATAATCTGCTCGTTACTGCCTCGTTAAGATTACCATTCTTTGAACAGCTAGACTTATTTCTTTTCTAGTTTTTATTTATTTTTAAGTCTGACAAGTATACCCTGTAAGTTTTTAACTTAGATGGTAACTTTGGATTCTTCTGATTTCGAAGTGATAAAGGCAAACACATTTTAAAAGTTATGGTAAAAATTATCAACTTAACATTAGAAATGCTTCAATTGATATGTAAGCTTAATGAGAAGTAAAGCAAATTGATTTTACTCGTGTATTTTCTCATACATTATGATGCAAACTTTTATATGGAAATCACCATCATACATGTATTTCGTCTTTTCGTATTGCAGAGTTATCTGCTCTTGAGAGCAGGTATTGATTGTTACGTCATTAGTTTGGGTGAGAAAATTACGTCGTTTTCTCAAAATGTCATGACGTTTCTCTCACAAACAAATGACGTAACAATCAATACCTGCTCACAAGAGCAGATAACTCTACAATACGAAAAGACGGAATATGTGCCTCTAATCCTACATTGCACGTGACCCTGAACAACCGCAACAAATGTAGCCCACAAAATAGTTTACTGGAATAAAAACTAATGAACTCTATCCTCTTTTCAGATTGGTCTTACACAGGCACTCATGGTAAGTAAGAGTAGATTCAGACCCTACTCGCGTCACTATGACGACGGCTGTTTAGTGAGCTTTTTAAAGGGATATTAACCTAACAAATTTGTGTAGTATTTGCAAATCCAATGCAATGTTAAGAAACCCAATGCAATCCTTAATAGAAATAGAGAAATGTTTCATCGTTTCTGCATGTGTAGGGTTGTTTATTTTTGCAATGCTAAACGTGTTATATATATACATTAAAGAGAAGTAACTCTTTATATTGATGTCGAATTCTACAGGAGTTCATCTCTGTTGTTTTTTCAAACCTTTTAAATCTTATCGTAGAAGGTCATATAGGTGTATGGGTTCGTTGTATATAAATCAAATACACTTCGTTATATTCTGGGGGTTTTCTCCGCAGTATGACTTTGGCAATGTTTTGTTAAAACGAACCATCACATTTTAATGAAAATCGTACATAGAGAGGGCAGCATTGTGTTATATAATTACTGTAAGTACTGGGAGGGGACAGCACTGTGTATTCCTTTTGGGACCAGTAGGAAAATGAGTAAGAGTAGGGAGCAGCACTGTGTAGTATAGTTACTGTAAGTACTGGTAGGGGGCAGCACTGTGTAGTATATTTACTGTAAGTACTGGTTGTGGGCAGCACTGTGTAGTATAGTTACTGTAAGTACTGGTTGGGGACAGCACTGTGTATTCCTTTTGGGGCCGAGTAGGAACAGCACTGCGTTTAGTATAATTCCCATGAGTAAGAGTAGGGAGCAGCACTGTGTAGTATAGTTACTGTAAGTACTGGTAGGGGGCAGCACTGTGTATTCCTGTTAAGACGAGTAGTGGCAGCACTGTGTGTTCCTTTTTGGACCAGTAGGGGCAGAATGGTGTTGTATAATTCCCTTGAGTAAGAGTAGGAAGCAGCACTTTGTAGTATAGTTACTGTAAGTATTGGTAGGGGGCAGCACTGTGTATTCCTGTTAAGACGAGTAGTGGCAGCACTGTGGGTTAAATTTTGGACCAGTAGGGACAGAATGGTGTTGTATAATTCTCTTGAGTAAGAGTAGGAAGCAGCAATTTGTAGTATAGTTACTGCAAGGATTGGTAGGGGGCAGCACTGTGTAGTATAGTTACGGTAAGTATTGGTAAGGGGGAACACTGTGTAGTATAGTTACGGTAAGTATTGGTTGGGGGCAGCACTGTGTAGTATAATTACTGTAAGTATTGGTAGGGACCAGCACTGTGTAGTATAATTACTGTAAGTATTGGTAGGGACCAGCACTGTGTAGTATAATTACTGTAAGTATTGGTAGGGGGCAGCACTGTGTAGTATAATTACTGTAAGTATTGGTTGGGGGCAGCACTGTGTAGTATAGTTACGGTAAGTATTGGTAGGGGGCAGCACTGTGTAGTATAGTTACTGTAAGTATTGGTAGGGGGCAGCACTGTGTATACCTTTTGGGACCAGTAGGGGCAGCACTGTGCTAAGTATAATTCCCTTGAGTAAGAGTAGGAAGCAGCACTGTGTAGTATAATTACTGTACGTACTGTTAGGGGACAGCACTGCGTGTTCCTGTCGGGACGAGCAGGGGCAGCGCTGTTTATTCCTGAAAATCTTATCTTTATTACAGGACCTGGCCATTGGGATGATACATACCCTATCTGTGGCCAGAGTTCCCAGAGTCCCATCGATTTACCTTCCACGGTGTATTATAACCCTGACCTGAAGCCATTCAGCTTCAATAACTACAACGACCTCTCCGATTTTACTCTTAGGCTCCACAACAACGGTCATGGAGGTATGTGTGATTTTTACTAGTTTGCGCTTAATCTTACCGATATCAACACCAGCTCTAAACCATGAAGTCTCTTTTGATATGCATTTATATTTTTACCTAATAAGCTTTGTTTTTTTGCATTTCATTCGTTGTCATCTGTCAGTTCTATTTTCAATGTCATCACTTTCGTCTAGCGCAAGTCGACATTACTTCCGGTAATATTGAAGACGTGACAATAACCGAGGGAGGGTTGCCAGGAACCTTCAAGGCTGCGCAGTTACATTTCCATTGGGGTTCAGTAGACACGAAGGGTTCAGAGCACACCATGAATGGTATAGCGTATCCTATGGAGGTGAGTATAATTATGTAACACTTGTTACTCGTCTTCCGTTATTTCTGTTTTGTTCTAAACACTCATGTCATTACGGTTTACGTTAAAAGACTCTGAAACTCAAGAAGCTTATTTATCTGTCACTGTGAGGGCATGGGTCGGGCAGACCTAGGTTTTGGTTAGTTCCGGTATAATCTATATGGTATCTGTTTTATATAAAGTAAATGAAATCGCCCTCCTCCTTTTCTGTCAATGTCTTGATGAACGTTTCACTTATATCCATTTCTAGGTGCATATCGTCCACTACAACACAAAATACGCTGACATCGGCACAGCTATAGACAAACCCGATGGATTAGCTGTCCTTGGCGCTTTCTTCACTGTAAGTAAAGCCACATAAATTATACTAGTGATACTATAAAACCATAGTGTTATTATCACTTTAAAATTAATGTGTGGTCAAATGTTCAAGAAATATTTTTAGTTACTATGCGTATGTACTTTAATTAGAATAAAGTCAATGATAGCAGGGTTAGCAGTCTTGTCTGAGTGAAAACGACGGACCTCGACTGCTGTTGATTTATTTGGACAGTATCCATGTGTACGGGATTAACGGTTATTTGATGGTCAGCTAATAACCTATTAAAATTTATGTTAATTTTCGTTAAACATTGCAGGTTAAACATAAGCCTTTGCTAGTCAGCTCGTAATATATATGTATTTAAGTTCACGTAAAGGTTCAATCAACATGGCTAGCTAATCACGTTGTAGATAAGACGTAAGACAAACGTTCGATTGAACCGTTGATTTACCTCGCCAATAACGACTTAGAGAAGTGTTCCGAAATAGACTGCACATAAAAGATAATCGACAGAATACGAACCATTTTAAGAAGGCGGAGTCGATAAGGATATTTACTGATAAATCTAATTTTGATATACAGATTTATAACAAGTATAGAGGTTCCCGGTCACTTAATGTTTAGAACTCATTAGCCTGTTAACGTGTCAAAACTGGATAAAACATCAATATCCCTCTTGAAACTGTCAGTGCGCATCAGATAATATAACAGTTTGGAATAAATAATTGTTTTGTGATTTCTGATTTGGTATATAAAAGTTTGTGATGGACGATAATATTCAATGAATGGAGTCACTGATTTTTGTGTTCTAATTTTTTTTACAGATCTCCACAAATGATAATCCATCATACGCACCGATCGTAGACAGCCTAAGTGACATTACATATTATAGTAAGTTAAATACACGACATTCGTAGACACTTAAAGTGACATTACATATTATAGTAAGTTAAATACACGACAATCGTAGACGCTTAAAGTGACATTACATATTATAGTAAGTTAAAAACACGACAATCGTAGACACTTAAAGTGACATTACATATTATAGTAAGTTAAATACACGACATTCGTAGACACTTAAAGTGACATAACATATTCTGGTAACATATTATAGAAAGTTACATACGCACCAATCATGGACAACTAAAATGACATACCATATTCTTGTAACATATTATAGTAAGTTAAATACGCACCAGTCGTAGACAACTTAAATGATATACCATATTCTTGTAAAAAATTATAGAAAATTAAATACGCACCAATCGTAGACAGCTTTGGTGACATATACAAATTCATAGTAACATAATCAAAGCACGTGTTATAAGCAATTTAATCAAATCAACATGGATTCCGGGAAACGGAGACATATCAATAAATTTTGATAGAGTTGCAGAGACGAACATATATCATATATATAGTATATAGAAACTGTCTGTAACAATCAAAGTTACAAAAACTGCTAAATTGACCACCCTGTTTTCAATATCAAAATATTATAAACTGACAATACACATTAAGGTAACATGTACAGCAACATCAGAACATGTAATAAAAAAGACTTATGACAATTATTAATGATAAAATACAGAGGAAAAGAAGAAAGAAAAAATAGAAACGAAAGTCATTACAATATCATCTTCTTTTTCAGAGGACGACAAAGCGCTCAGCTCCTTCAATTTGATGACTCTGTTGCCAAGCAATAACCTTGATAAGTTTTACCGTTACCAAGGTAGTCTTACCACTCCTGGTTGTTTCCAAAGTGTGACATGGACAGTTTTTGAGGAAGCCATTCCTATATCAAGTTTCCAGGTGAGTTTAAGATCCTTCTCCTACAGTCTACATTGTTACAGGATTATGTGGAAAAATGTCAATTACGAATTTGACGTCAGTACTTCTTGTCTTTAAAAAATACCGACAAGGTGCAATCAAACAAGCTCTTTATCCAGCTGAAACCACACAAAAGATAGCCTAAACATTATTTTGTTGATGACCGACGTTTTCCCCTATATTTAATATTACACTATGCTGACTTGATACATGCAGATACCACAAGCGTTAAACGTTTCTTTTAGATGTGATGTCTGTCCTCTTGTGTTGAAGTCCCGTCTGTCCTCTTGTGTTGTTGTTCCGTCTGTCCTCTTGTGTTTATGTTCCGTCTGTCCCCTTGTGCTGATGTTCCGTCTGTCCCTTGTGGTGAAGTCCCGTCTGTCCTCTTGTTTTGATGTGCCGTCTGTCCGCTTGTGTTGATGTTCCGTCTGTTCCCTTAGGGTGTTGATGTTCCGTCTGTCCACATGTGTTGATGTTCCGTCTGTCCCCTGTGTTGAAGTCCCGTCTGTCCGCTTGTGTTGATGTTCCGTCTGTACCCTTGTGTTGAAGTCCCGTCTGTCCGCTTGTGTTGATGTTCCGTCTGTTCCCTTAGGGTGTTGATGTTCCGTCTGTCCACATGTGTTGATGTTCCGTCTGTCCGCTTGTGTTGATGTTCCGTCTGTCCACTTGTGTTGATGTTCCGTCTGTTCCCTTAGGGTGTTGATGTTCCGTCTGTCCGCTTGTGTTGATGTTCCGTCTGTACCCTTGTGTTGAAGTCCCGTCTGTCCGCTTGTGTTGATGTTCCGTCTGTACCCTTGTGTTGAAGTCCCGTCTGTCCGCTTGTGTTGATGTTCCGTCTGTACCCTTGTGTTGAAGTCCCGTCTGTCCGCTTGTGTTGATGTTCCGTCTGTCCTCTTGGGTTTAGGTTCCGGCTGTTCCCTTGTGTTGATGTTCCGTCTGTACCCTTGTGTTGATGTTCCGTCTGTACCCTTGTGTTGATGTTCCGTCTGTCCCCTTGTGTTGATGTTCCGTCTGTCCCCTTAGGGTGTTGATGTGCCGTCTGTCCTCTTGTGTTGAAGTCCCGTCTGTCCTCTTGTGTTGATGTTCCGTCTGTCCCTTGTGTTGAAGTCCCGTCTGTCCTCTTGTGTTGATGTTCCGTCTGTCCCCTTAGGGTGTTGATGTTCCGTCTGTCCTCTTGTGTTGATGTTCCGTCTGTCCCCTTAGGGTGTTGATGTTCCGTCTGTCCTCTCGTGTTGATGTTCCGTCTGTCCCCTTGTGTTGATGTTCCGTCTGTCCTCTTGTGTTGATGTTCCGTCTGTCCCCTTGTGTTGATGTTCCGTCTGTTCTAGTTGTTGTATTTAGTTTCAGTTTTGACGATGTGGTGCATTGTTGTTTTTTTGCAGATGAGTAAATTCCGTACAATAATGGACAACGCCAACCAGTCAACCGTAGATAACTTCCGACCTGTGCAGCCATTGAATGGGAGGAACGTGTACATCAGTTACCAGGCCACACCCTGTAAGTGACATCTGGTCCCAGTTGTTCAAACAGTGCTTAGCGTAATCACTGTAAACAATATTTTACAACCTTTACAGATCTTGTCAATATACCAGGTAAAATCTCACAACTATCAGATATCTGGAAAGTTGTTTAAAAGATACACAAAAAAATAAAATTTGCACTTATCACTGGTTAGGATAATCATCTTTTGAGGTACTTGGCCCAGATATACACTCTTGAGAGCTTATGTTATTCCGGTCGATACATTATAAGAACCCTAGTGTATACTTTTCAAAGAGTTGTTTTTACTAGAATGGACATAATATACTAGTAGTTAATTTTAACTGAATGGTAAATTCCCATCTACATATTATTTTCTCATTTCCAAATTTTATCTTCTTTATAATAGGCTAGGGTATTTGATGGTAAATGTGATATTTTAGGGTTATCCATTTTCTAGTAAAATAACCATGTTGTGTCAAATGCCCCTAAATAACGTGTTGGCTTATTATTTGAACAAGATTTTAATCAGATCCAAACCCGAACAAACCCGGTTAAGAACAAAGGAAGGAAGGCATATTTTATAATTAATTATAACTTGGCATTCCCGAGCTCTTTCAACTTTAATTTACTGGTTAATATTTCTATTTTTTTTATTTCATTTCAGCGTCATGGACTTATCACGGTGCTAAAGGTAATCTCACTCGATAGCAAAACAAGTAGACTATAACACACCCAGATTTATAAGGATGTACTGGCATCGCTAGTTATACTGATGATGTACCAGTGTACTAATATCTTTAAAACTCGTGACAGAGAGAGCAACACGACATCACTTAAATACAGCATGGTGACGTCACAGGAATACACCATTATGACGTCACTAGTTTTCATCATAGTGATGTCAATTGAATGCATCATAGCATGTTATTGATTAATTGTGTTTATAGGACCACAAGTTATTTGATTTATTTTTTATACTTTCTATACAGGATGTGATACTCTGAAGGAATTTCACTTCCTTAAATGACCGTAGCTTTTGATAGGACATTAAACCCTAATATGAAATAGGCACTGCCTATAAGCGAGCGCACATAGTGCAGTAACCTTTGTGATGATAGTGTATCGGTGCCCCAGCTAAGAATTTTAGGGTAACAAAACGAACAGAATCCCTCCTTAGGACATAAGTGAGCTGAATATTCTTCCATGAAAAAGAAATGAATGGTAGTTTAAAAGAATGTATTTTAATTAAGAAAACCTGTCAGATATTCCATGTAGGCCTTTTTGTTGTTACTTATTTACTATTTTTAACACCCTTGTCAATGTATTGCCTGATTCCTTTAGAACAAAATTTCTCAAGACAAAATGAAAGAGATATGTTCTACTGTGCATAGAAAATATTAATTAACAAGGCTAAGTATTGCAAGGCAATCAATAGACCCCCATGGCCACAGGTAAGAATTTCTATACACAAACAGTACACTTATGTCAGAATGCATAATGGTCACAGTGAGGTCATAGTGAGCTACTTCACTCCGCCATCCCAAGATGTCCTTGTTCACCAAATCTGGTTACTCCAGGTGAAAAAGCATATGCCCCGTACAAATATTTTCAAAAGTAAAGATCAAAGGTCAAGTCATACATCACAATCTTGCATTATTCACTTCGCCATCAAAAGATGTCCTTGTACACTAAATCTGGTTACTCCAGATGAAATAGTAAAAAAAATATGCCCCAGTCCAACGTTTTCAAAAGTTAAGGTCAAATGTCAAATCCTATCGACACAGTGAGGTCAGTTCATGAAAATCTATATGTTTGCCTAAATTGCCAAGCCCCATGCCCCAGACTAGTAAAAAATGTCAATGTTTACTTTGAAACATAAGTTGGGCTTGTATTTGTTTTTTCGAAACAACCTTCCAACTATAGTTCATAAATTATTATGTTGTATATCTCGACCATGTATGACCTCTTGAAGAGACTAGCATGATTGTATTCCTGTGGTACCAGACCTGCGGAAAATTTTGGTAGTTGTCTATGGATTGCCAGTAGGTGTTTTTCATTATAGGACACTGATTTCAACCATGTGATGATTTCAATGTTATAAAGTCACCATGCTGGAGTGACTGAACCCTAGGAGCAATCACAGTTAGTATGAGTCTATCAATCTTTACATAACCTGTAAAGAGCATGGTAATTTCTAAGTACACACGGACAAACAATAAAGAATTGATCATGTTACAACATCTCTCATTTACAAGCTTTACCTGGTCTATAGGTGACATGCAAACACAATAAAATTTGCTTAAAGATGATTCTAAATCAGTTCTAAGTAGTTATGAAAGACGATTCTAAATCAATATGAAGTAATTATATATAATGATGGTTCCCATTTTGTAGCTCCAAACCAGCATTCTATTTCTCAATATTCCAATATTGGAGAAGCAATGGCTGCAATATCCATTCCTTTTGAATAACCAAATGTTAAAACAATTTAATCATTTACATTGTAATGGAAAAAAGCATTATATTGTGAACATTTTTGAACCTAAAGCATGATACCACTGTACCAGTATCCTCAGAAACCAGATGCTGCGATAGATATAAACAGGACCATTGCAATTATAACACATAAATTATACATATACAACAGTGTTCGTATGTTATACAAGCTTAAGAGATACATGGACCTGAGTTGTAATGCAATTATGTTATTTGTTGTAGTGATGTAAAAATCAAACAAAAACAGAACAAAAGTTCACTTAATCCAAAAAAGGCTTTATGAATTCCTTGAGGGATATTCATATTGGGAGTGACCAGCATATATTATTGATATATCATTTATGGTGGGTACATAATTGTCTGACATACGGTCTGTATCGCTGACAATTTTCCGAAAAAGGGGATATAGTGGAGAAATGAATGACACGGGGTAATGAAATAACAATTTCAGATAAAGCGACTTATGAACTTTCCAACCATGAAGAGTGTTTGATTCTAGCATATCTGGATCTTAGGAAGAATATTGTTGACATTTCAGCAATTTTGCCCTCTACAGGCCCTAGGGAAGGGCCAGGTTCTTAATTTTCAAAACATCAAAATTTAGTCACATGATGGTAATTTCAATCAACTTTGAATTTGTACCCAAAAGTGTTATTTCCCCATATATACTACAGTAAGGCCATAAACAAGATTTACATAAACTTCGGATAACCTGATCATGACAAACCTTATTTTTTTCCTGTGGACCTTAGGGAACATTTTATCACCTACTTTGTATCCATGAAGATTATTTTAATAATCCGGCAAAAAATACTTGCACTGTTATGGTCAAGGGATCCTGACCACATTCTTGACAGAATAATAACAATTGAAATGCATAGAAATTCATTTTTCATACATTTGTTATTACCCTGTAAGTATTCCGTCTTTTCTTATTGCAGAGTTATCTGTTTTTGTGAGCAGGTACTGATTGTTACGTCATTTGTTCGCGAGAGTAACGTCATCAATTTTTGAGAAAACGACGTAATTTTCTCACACAAAACAATGACGTAACAATCAATACCTGCTTACAAAAGAAGATAACTCTGCAATACGCAAAGATTAAATATATTGATCCATGAAAATTTAAAAAATCAAATGAAATTGCCTGCTTACTGACCAACCCTATTTTTCTCTGGAATGTTGACTGAAGAACATGTTGTTTTTGTTTTAGCCTAAACATTAACCCTTTCTAAGGACAAGTGAATGATCCAGAGGTAGCAAAATATTCATAAATTTTAAATGGGCCTACAGGACTTTCCATCTATGAAGAGTAATTGATTTTAGCATCTCTGTGCCTGAATAAGAAGACTGTTGAAAATTTAGTCAATTTGACCTCTTTTGGCCTCAAAACCCTGGCAGACTAGATCCACATGTTATTCATAAATTTGGCTTGCATTTGACCATGGAACTTTTCTTCAAATATTACCTGAAGTGGTTTAAAGGTTAATATGACGAACAAAAGGCATTCACAAGAGGTCAACACAAAGACTTTGATAGCTAAAAAAAATCCATTTTCTAGCTTAAGTTCACAAATCATAAATGTAATACTCACTGCCTACCAAGATGTTCGAATGTCCAGTTGATGTATGCACACATAGACTGGGACATGCCATCAAATCTGTACATAAAGTTACACTTCTATACCAAATTTCAATTTTATATTTGAAAAATTGAACGAGTTATGATGATGAATAGAATTTTACGATCGGCGGTGTGGCACGTGTGGTTACTAACCTGCACAGTTAAGAAAGCATCGCCACACAATATCTTTAAAAATACTTACTCAAGTAAGCGACATAAGAGGACATGTTTTTCATAAGACTTTTATTGGTGTATATTCTAAACTTCAGCTAGATGTTTACGATCGTCGGCGTGGTGCCACGCATGTGTGATTACCTCTAAAATTAGCCTATAAAGTAAGCGACATCAGAAGATGTTGTTCTACAGGTGCTTGTTTTCAGGATACTTTCGGTTAGTATTAAACCTATACACACCAGTAAATAACAGCAACATTTTGTATCGAATCCGGTGTTTATACACATTCGAAAAGCTTATAAAAATTGAGGGTATCAAAACAAACTCAGTACCCTCATTTTTTATGTGTATAAACACCGGATAAAAAGTAACCGAAAGTATCACGAAACCGAGCCCCTGTGTGTTATTCATATGGCTATATGATACACCTATATGTACCAAACTTCAGCCAGATATTTGAAAAATTGACCGAGTTATGATAAATTGAATTTTTATGACCGATGGCGTGGCAGACGTGTGTAAAGAAATCTAATGATCGTGAAGCGTCTTCAAACTATATCTCTAAAATTATTCAAAAAAGTAATCGACATCAGACGATATGTTTTAGTTATTCAAATGATTATAGCACACTTTATTGGATGCGTACATTCATATTAATGATTTCAGCTTCTGAAAACAAACCTGACGTGTTCAGAGCTGCAAGGCTTTTAAATTACCTCCAATACAATACAGTCAAAACCTGACATACTACATGTTATATGATTTTGTAAATTATACACTTAATTTTTCACACCTCGATGTGTAAGGCTATGAATGAAAATAGCATATTAAAGCAGTGCTCGTCCTTGAAGTTGTCAAATATGTAAACACCTCACAAACTCGATATTTAAAAAGTGATCAAAAGTGACTGGACTTGATCTCTGAGGAAGTGTTACGACAACAGTCTAATGTAGGTGTTTGTGACAGGGAATACCAATGGTCTATGATAAGTGTTTGTAAACAGGTATCTCAGTGCACGTGGTCTATAGTGAGAGTTTGTAACCAGGTATCTCAGTGGTCTATGGTAAGTTTTCGTGTCAAGGTATCTCAGAGAACTATATTTTTTTGTGATCAGGTATCTCAGTTGTCAATAGGTAGTGCGTCTGTTACTGTTCGTGACTAGGTACATGTAACTCGGTGAACTATAATTAGTGATTGTGACCAGGTATCTCAGGAGTTTATAGTATAATTAGAGTTTGTGACCAGATCAATTTTTCATTTTCATATTATAACTGATTATTTCACACGTTTTCAAAAGTGAAACATGTAAAAATTAGTCAAAGTCATGGACCTAGGTTTAGTCTAATTCCTTGGTGAATTGACGAAAAATATAGATCTACATGTAGCTTATTTTTCCAGATCTCGTGAGTTACGTCCCCTTAACACATCTTGACTCATAGGCCTACCCACGGAATTAGATTGCTATCTAAGTCTGTGCTAGAATTGACCATTTTTAGCCTGTTAACTTGCTTATCTATTCTGATACTCAATGATTTCATCAGAAACCAACTAAAAAGACGATTGACACTCTAAAGTGGGGTTTTTTCCCTATGGGCATATACACATCTTTTATAATTATTCATGTTTTGTAATATTTGATTTTGAGCACACAGCTTCTCCCCCATAACAAAAATTCAAAAGGTTGGCAAGTATGCATTTATCATTTATTACCATGTATCATTTGTTTACAAAAAATAAGTGCAATTAACGCCTTCATTAGATACAGATACAATGAAAGGGTAGAACAAATATTAGAAATAATAACGTTAATGGTAAAAGACATTGTACATGCAAAGGGGGGGACTTAATGGAATGCTTGGTGTTTGTCCTTTTGTGTAAGTTTCGTTGTTTTTAATTAAAAAGAAGTGACAAAACTAATGAAATATCTTGCAAAAAGAAACCTTTTGTCAACACGTCTAAATACATTTTGTGCATTTAAAAAGTATGGCAATGTATTTTTCTTAACACATTACAAACATCCAGCAATTGGCCTGCCGCCTTATTATTTATAAATGAATCTCGAATCCCCCTCGACTTCCCACCTTGAACCACAGCGGACCAATTCGTTACAAATGTCTTAAATATACCATATGCTATGCTGATATATGGGTCACAGCATTATGTGTCCTGTATCTCAGGCGGCTCATCAGCATTGTCGTTGATAAACAAAGAAACCCTTTGTCTGACCGGTTATCCTTTGTACTAGGTGACTAGACTGGCACAATCTTTTGTTGATAATTTTATATCGGATATATCTTCTCGCGTTCGGTAATGCAGGCTTTACGGTGAAGTTTTCTGTTCCGGTCTTTTTCAACCAATCAGAATGTGACAAATTTTGAAGCCCGTGATTTTCAAACCGCAAACATTTTTATTGCGAAACCTGATTCGTCAAAAACGTCGATAACTTTAATTTTTAAATCCGTTTAAGGGAAGAAACACTTCAAACTATGAAGAACACGTTTGCAAAGATCACGTAAACAAGATACGATTTGAAACATATTTTTTATTCCCACAGAGATGTTTAAAACGGCGATTGTTTAGCTTCTGATATATTAATAACCAATCAGAGCGTCACAAATTTCAAAGTCCGTTCTGCACGATGTAAAGAAAAAAAAATCGCATAGTATTGTAGTTTCGTTTTGTGTTACTTATACCACGCGTACGATAAAAGAAAGCGCTCGCTGCACTCGTTATAAACCATAGCAATTCTGAAGAATGTGATATGACATGCCAATTTTTTTTTATTTAAAAATGATTGGCGACGTTTGAGGTATAAACATTCATTCATTAATTTCTTACCTACGGAATCATATGCCGTCTAACTGTTACTCAATTTAGGTTTGTATAGTTTCACTGATATTAAAGGGACATTTTGATTGTTTTCCCCCACCACTAGGTCCTGATAACTGGTCTAACAGCTACTCTCTGTGTAGCGGTACCAGCCAGAGTCCAATCGACCTGCCGGAAAAGTCTTTGATGACATATCGAACAAGTCTTGGAATGTTTGAAATGACCAACTACGATAACAGCACCATACACGGGCCACTACTGTACAACAACGGACACGGGGGCAAGTTTTATCTAGGCAATAGTGTTTAATACTTACTTTCGCTATGTATATGTAATACACAACAACGGACACGGAGGTAAGTAAATCTACAAAGTGTAATATACTTGCATACACTATGTATATATAATACACAACGACAGACACAGGGGTCAATAAATCTACACAGTGTAATATACTTACATACACTATTTATATATAATATATAACAACGGACACAGGGGTCAGTAAACCTATAAAGTGTTATACTTACCTACACTATGTATATATGTTTCAAAACAACCTACATGGAGGTCAGTAAATCTACAAAGTGTAATATACTTACCTACATTATGTATATATAATACACAACGACAGACACAGGGGTCAGTAAATCTACAAAGTGTAATAGACTTACCTACAATATGTATATATAATACACAACGACAGACACAGGGGTCAGTAAATCTACAAAGTGTAATAGACTTACCTACAATATGTATATATAATACACAACGACAGACACAGGGGTCAGTAAATCTACACAGTGTATATACTTACCTACATTATGTATATATAATACAAAACAACCTACATGGAAGGTCAGTAAATCTACACAATGTAATATACTAACCTACGCTGTGTGTATACAATACACAACGACAGACACAGGGGTCAGTAAATCTACAAAGTGTAATATACTTACCAACATTATGTATACAATATGTTGTAATAAAACAACCGACAAGGGGGTCAGAAAATTTACACCTACTGACTATAGTATTTTACGACATTACGTAGCCATTTTAAAACATTACGTAGCCATTGAATTTATCATCACTTGCTTGATAGGACAATAACTAACAAGGGTCTTTTAAATACGAGATCACAGTGCACTGTCACTTAATACGAGATCACAGTGCCCTTTCACTTACTACGATATCACAGTACCCTGTCACTTAATACGATATCACAGTGCTCTCACACTTAATACGATATCACAGTGCCCTGTCACTTAATACGATATTACAGTGCCCTTTCACTTAATACGAGGTCACAGTGCTCTCACACTTAATACGATATCACAGTGCTCTCACACTTATACGATATCACAGTGCTCTCACACTTAATACGAGCTCACAGTGCCCTGTCACTTAATACGGGATCACAGTGTCCTGTCACTTAATACGATATCACAGTGCCCTGTCACTTAATACGAGATCACAGTGCTCTCACACTTAATACGAGATCACAGTGCTCTCACACTTAAAACGATATCACAGTGCTCTCACACTTATACGATATCACAGTGCTCTCACACTTAATACGATATCACAGTGCTCTCACACTTAATACGATATCACAGTGCTCTCACACTTAATACGATATCAAAGTGCTCTCACACTTAATACGATATCATAGTGCTCTCACACTTAATACGATATCACAGTGCTCTCACACTTAATACGAAATTACAGTGCTCTCACACTTAATACGATATCAAAGTGCTCTCTCACTTAATACGATATCATAGTGCTCTCACACTTAATACGATATCAAAGTGCTCTCACACTTAATACGATATCACAGTGCTCTCACACTTATTACGATATTACAGTGCTCTGACACTTATTACGATATCAAAGTGCTCTCACACTTAATACGAAATCACAGTGCTCTCACACTTAATACGATACTACAGTGCCCTGTCACTTAATACGATATCACAGTGCTCTCACACTTAATACGAAATCACAGTGATCTCACACTTAATACGATATCACAGTGCTCTCACACTTATTACGATATTACAGTGCCCTGTCACTTAATACGATATCACAGTGCTCTGACACTTAATACGATATCACAGTGCTCTCACACTTAATACGATATTACAGTGCCCTGTCACTTAATACGATATCACAGTGCTCTGACACTTAATACAATATCACAGTGCTCTGACACTTAATACGATATCACAGTGCTCTGACACTTAATACGATATCACAGTGCTCTCACACTTAATACGATATCATAGTGCTCTCACACTTAATAAGATATTACAGTCCTCTCACACTTAATACGATATTACAGTGCTCTCACACTTAATACGATATCACAGTGCTCTCACACTTATTACGATATTACAGTGCTCTCACACTTAATACGATATTACAGTGCTCTCACACTTAATACAATATCACAGTGCTTTCACACTTAATACGATATCACAGTGCTCTCACACTTAATACGATATTACAGTGCTCTCTCACTTAATATGATATCACAGTGCTCTCACACTTAATACAAGATCACAGTGCTCTCACACTTAATACGATATTACAGTGCTCTGACACTATTACACATACACATTCACTTATTAACCGAGCGTAAATTCGGAAGTTCAAATAGTTTTGAATATTTCTTTAAACCTTTTCTTCCAATCTTATCAACAGTACAAGTTAATCTTGAGGGGAACGTAGCTGTGACGGCTAGGAATGGTGGACTTCCCGGGACGTTCAAGCTGGCACAATTCCACTTCCACTGGGGGTCAAACAATGCTATGGGATCCGAACACACTTACAGGGGCCGGTCCTATCCAATGGAGGTCAGCATCGTGTGGTCTACGATAGCTAAATAGTTATTTTTATACAAAATATTGCAACGTCGAACAAAAACCGACGATTTTATTTTATACGTGACGTAATAGTGCGCTAAATTGTGTCAGTCTAATTGTTTTGATGTCTTCTCTATATATAATATATAGGATCTGATTGATTGAAAATGTCTTTGAAAAAAATATCTTGTTCAATTCTTTCAAGAAAAGTCAAGAAACTTTCATATATGTTAAAGGTGCACTTCGTCCATTACAACACAAAGTACGGTGACATAGGAACCGCTGCTGACAAGTCCGACGGTCTCGCTGTATTCGGTTTCTTCTTTGAGGTGAGTCTTTCAAACTCCAATCTCCTTGATAAGCAAAACATACCAGTACTATATGTAAAGCAATGTTTATCATTTACAAAAAGACTTTTCTTAATCTTTTTATTTTATCGTTGTCGTTGTTTTTCTTCTTCTCAAATTTACAGCATTATCTTACGTCTACGTTTGCAGCGATTATTTTTGTTACCAGTGTAATAATGATTTAAAATATGTAAACAAAAAGGTGCGGTCTATTGTATTAAGTCCCCTGAATGATATGTTTTATCTACATCTATCATCTTGTCACTGATAACCATGTTTTAACTTTTGTCTCTTTCTGTCCAACAGGTGGGAAACACCAACAACTGCAATTACAATCCTGTGATTGATCATCTAGACAAAATCAAATATCCTAGTAAGTAAATATCAAACATGTCTTTCTCTCCGATGGCATCCTTCCATTGTGTCATCATGTGTCATTTTCTGCACAAGCATTGGCTGGTCGAGAGCTAACGAATATTTTATAAAAATGTCTGCGCTGGTAAAAGTGTACAATGATAACTTTCGGAGCGAAAGTTCAAGAATTATTGGATTAAAATAGTAGATTTTAAAAGCATTAATAATAAATTTGGAAGTTTTGCGATAATTGACGTTTGGCCCCCACCTCTTTGTTTGAGATGATTGACGTTTGGCCCCTACTTTTCTGTTTGAGATAATTGACGTTTGGCCTCTACTTTTTTGTTTGAGATAATTGACGTTTAGCCCCCATTTCATTTTCGGAGATAATTGACGTTTGACCATCACCTCTTTGTTTGAGAAAATTGCCGTTTGGCCCCTACTTTTTTTTTTGAGATAATTGACGTTTGGCCCCACTTCTTTGTTTGAGATAATTGACGTTTGTCCCCCACTACTTTGTTTGAGATAATTGACGTCTGGCCCCTACTTTTTTGTTTGAGATAATTGACGTTTGGACCCACTTCTTTGTATGAGATAATTGACGTTTATCCCCAACTACTTTGTTTGAGATAATTGACGTTTGGCCCCTACTTTTTTGTTTGAGATAATTGACGTTTGGCCCCACTTCTTTGTTTGAGATAATTGACGTTTGGCCCCCACTACTTTGTTTGAGATAATTGCCGTTTGGCCCCTACTTTTTTGTTTGAGATAATTGACGTTTGGCCCCACTTCTTTGTTTGAGATGGTTGACGTTTGGCCCCCACTACGTTGTTTGAGCTTATTGTCTTTTGGCTTTAATATTTTATTTATTTGAATTTTTAAGCTTACTGTGAAATGAATTATTTTTGGGGGATATAAATTTCGTTGATTTCGTGAGTAATCTAGTAGACATGTAGCATAGAGGTAGCCGTAAGTGACTGAAAGGGCACTTCCAGCAAAATCCTCAACATTGTACTGGTTGATATACGCTACCGATTGTATAAATCATATCTGTGTATTGTGTTTGAGCAGCTAGTCTCAGCTTTATCAAATGTTATACCAGTATTTCTGTCATTTTTTTTTTATGTCCAACACGTTTAATTGAAACGATGCATGATGGGATACATTGCTAGGTGCAGAATTTGATAATAATTATGATTAAGTTATGGATGATTTTCGTGTTATTCTGTTGATGGAATAATGTTGTTTTTTTACAGAGACTACAGCGACGATCCCCTCATTTAACATTCGTCACCTGATGAATGAGGACATGTCGCGTTACTATCGCTACAAGGGAAGTCTCACCACTCCAGCTTGTTACGAGAGCGTCACGTGGACAGTCTTCGAACAGACAATCAAACTCTCATCGGAACAGGTATTAATGAATTATACAAAATACATGTAGTTTCGACACGTATTATAGGTGTAAATGTGCCCACGTATGGCTATCATCTCCTGCATACACTGCATTACTGAGTAATTGTGTAATGAAATGGCTTCATAAATAATGAATTTATATTATACCTCACTCAGACACAAAAACATGAAGTGTTTTAGAGAACAGTTGCTGGAATATGCTTGACCAATGGATATGCAAATGTTGTTGAATAGGTAGAAAAGGTATGCCATGATGCAGTTTATGAAATTTACAGTTTAATCTTGCGAAGATTTTGTGCATCGTTTAGATATGCACACTTAAAAAATCAACAAGGCAAAAACAGTTTATCATCACTAACGTTTTCAAGCGATGGCAAGTCATGAAAACATTTGTCAAACTGTATTTGAAACTAACTACAACGGCAAAACGTGAATCTGATTTCGATTCTTATGTCTTCCCTAGAACAGTTTCATCAATTTACTTTGATAAGATATTAAGTTTTATCTTCGTAAACATATTTTACCGCAGAAAACATTCCTTGTTTACAGACAAATCGCTAGTTTTTCCTACGACTGTAGTAATAACCATCAAATATTAATGCCTTTTTTTGTATTTTTAGCTCGCCAAGTTCCGGGAAGTACTTGACACCAGTGGTCACAGGACTGTGGATAACTTTAGACCGACACTTTCGCTTGGCACACGGGTTGTCTACGCTAGTTTCGACACCTATGTCGGCGCAGCACCATCTGTATCCGCAAAGCACGTCTTAGTTACATTACTGGCTGTCGTTGCGTTTCTATTGTAATTCGCTATTCGATAAAACGATAAAGGAACTTGTCGGTACTAAACCACCAGCATTACATCACACCATAGGCTATCCAGAAGTTCCCCAACGAGGGGCGGTCATTATAATTTTCTAAATCGGATTTCTTTTTTAAATGATGTAGATTTTAATATTTGAAAACCTACTTTGAAATCATGTCTGGAAATCATATTTGTCTTTGAAATTTATGATTCCGGTTATTTCTATCGTGGATATGCACATGTGTTATCAAAATGTCCTCTTACTCCTCGCGTGTTTGGCCTAAAGTTGAGGAATGGGGAAACAAATAGTGATTATGGGAGAAAACGATACTGTATATCGTGAAACTTTTCGCCCAGTGAGGTATTCGCCCTTTAGCCATTGCAGAGGGCGAAAAAAATGAAGATTAACTCTTTCACCCCTATGTAACTTTAGTAAACTCAACCATGCATTGATCTGGATGAGTCCATTATGGTCCACAGTGGTGAAAGAGTTAAAATGCGCGAAAAGGTCAAGGTATACAGTAATAGAAAAATTGTATTATTGCTCAAGGTGCCATGTTCACGTCGCGATCAGAACATTATCATTAAAGAAAGCCATTACATATTTCAAAAGTTTACGTTTTTACATGCACGTATGTTAAGAATACCCTCCTACCGATTAAGAACGATGTCAGAAAATTAAAAGCAAATTACGACAGCTGAATATAAGATAACCTTACAAACGTGTATGCATACTCTTTACTTACTTTACATCATAAGAGGCGTCCTGGTTTTATTTAAAGTATGTGTCACTTTTGACGACATTAACAAACGATGTTTATGACACACGGGTATTTTTGATTGCCTTCGCATAAATGCTTCCCTGCTAAAAATAGGCATTTTAGTGCGTATTCATCATATCTGCAAAAGTTTTGTTTGTTTTGTAAGATTTGTTTTCGAACGCGAATAGGACATGTGACTGTGGACATGTGACTGTGAACATGTATGCTTTTACTACATTGGAATTGATTCATCATGAATATAAAGTATGTACAGTGTACTAACTAATGCCAGACACAGTGATATATATGTGACACATACACACTTTTAAACAAAACGAATTCTCGCATTTCAATCAATGTGCGGTCGAGTTATTCAGGTTAGGTACGTTTTCCCGGTATGTTTATTTTTACTAACAACTTTTCTATTCTTGTGCTCAAGTGTACTCTTCACTTTCATAAAAGTATGACCTTATGACCTTAATATATCCTTGCTCATTTCCCATATGCGGCCTAATTAGACTTCGTTATAAATATAACGTGACGTGGAGCGTGCTATTCGAAACTATCAAACGAGGTGATGGCATGTCACACACCAAGACATGTATTGGTAGATCGTGTGTGGCAAAGCGGTGTTTCAACAAAATGTAAAGATCCAAACGGTGAAAACATTTCAGATATCCGAAAACAAAATTATTTTTAAAAATTACGAAAGTCGATTTTATTACAATACCTATAGATTTAATACACATTTGCTTGGGGTATCTAAATAATTACAAAGCATTAAAAAAGTATATTTAATACGTATATATTTACATGTAATAGTATTTTTGTTATATATTACTACGTTAAGTCGTAAACTTAACCATCTTTCGTCATGGAACTGGAGCTTACATTACGAGTAGTGTACTTCATTTTTCATATTTTTTATATACAAAGGAACTATTTTACATTTCATTTTATGTGTATGTTCATATTTTTAGTAATTGTGACTAATGAACCAAACAGAAAGTATTTTTATAGTGGCTATACCAGAGTTACACACAAGTTCTCGTATATCTGGTATTAGATGCACAGATCCAAACACACAAGAAAGTTTGCTTTGGATATACAGGAAGATTTAATTATATAAAAATACCATTTATGGGAAAATCTGTTCCAGTTATCAATTTAACGCATAATATTAACCATTACATTTACAGAGAAATATTAGATTTGCAAACACTATCTCAATTGTATTGATATCGATGTATATTTAATAGATAATCATGTTATTTTACATTTTAATGTTTATTTATTAGTGCTCAACAGGGACAGACCCTTTTACCATGGTTCCTGAATCGTCAGTGCTAAATTATTAATGATATTGTATAAAAGAAATCCTATTCTATATATTAACCCTGGTCCTTGTCGATAGTCGTTCATAAGCCACCACAAATCTGGAACATCTAGGACATTGTTTAAACGTTCCCAAGGTCAGCCACCTATAACCTGGGACACCTAGGACATTGTTTAAACGTTCCCAATGTCAGCCATCACTAACCTGGGACGTCTAGGACATTGCTTAAAAATTCCCAATACACAGGCTTGGTAAACGAGACTCGACAGTAGCAGTCTACATAACCATTGTTCATCCCATCATATGTGTGAGATTGACAACTATTTATGTTTAAGTTAGAATTGGTATGAAATTCATTTTGTTACCATTCACCGATGTTATATTCTGTATTTATACTAACATGAATGTTATAAAAGGTTTAATTTCGGAAATAAACTTGGAAATAAAACAAAATTTTAATTGTTTTTTTTCTTTTCATGCTTCAGTTTAGTATGAAAGAATTGTGTCCTTAGTGTCAGCATAAAATGATGAATTTATATAATATACCGTCAACAAAAAATGACAAATTTATATTATATAAGGTCAACACAAAATGATAAATTGATTTATTGTTTTTTCATATTACTCCCAACAAGTGATTGACCAGGAGTGCATCACGTGTCCACCTATAAAAATCGATATCGACTTTGAGTGCGTGATTTTTGTTGAAGGACTGGGTGTTTCTAAAAGTAGAATTATGACGAGTCTCCAAACAACGCACCGTCCCGCTTCCGAATTTTTTGTTTTTTTGTTTTTGAGATTGCTTACATCACTGTTTTGAAAATAATAAAACAATTGTAGCCTTTAACTTCGACCGCAGCCAAAGGCTTTATTGAATAATAATATAGCGTCAACACAAAATAATAAATTGATATAATATAACGTCAACACAAAATGATAAGTTAATATGATATAACGTCAACAGAAAATAATAAATTAATATGATATAACGTCAACACAAAATAATAAATTAATATGATATAACGTCAACACAAAATAATAAATTAATATGATATAACGTCAACAGAAAATGATAATAAATATGATAAAACGTCAACACAAAATAATAAATTAATATAATATAACGTCAACACAAAATGATTAATTAATATAATATAACGTCACCACAAAATAATAAATTAATATGATATAACGTCAACACAAAATAATAAATTAATATGATATAACGTCAACACAAAATAATAAATTAATTTATTATTAATTAATTCATTATTTTTTCATATTATTCCCGACAAGTTATTGACCAGGAGTGCATCACGTGTCCACCGATGAAAACCGATATTGAATTGGAGCGCGTGATTTTTGTTGAAGGACTGGGTGGTTCTAAAAGTAGAATTATGACGTGTCTCCAAACAATGCATGGCCCCACTTCCGAAGCTCTTTTGTTGTGTTTTTTCTTTAGATTGCTTACATTACTATTTTGTAAAATAATAAAACAATTGAAGCCTTTAACTTCGGTTAATACCTGGATTTATCAACCCGAGAAAAGATATATTGACCTCGGACTGCGTCATCAGTTATGTATCTTTTCTCGGGTTGATAAATCGAGGTATCGACCTCAGCCAAAGGCTTTAATTGAATATTATTTGAATTATAATGGGAATGTATGTTTTGTAGAGAAATAGCAATATACAAATGGAAAGTCTGATGCCTTAATACAGAATACATATCGTACAAAAACAAGCAGACATCAGCAATGCACTAGCATTGTACTCAGATTTGGCGGTGATTTACAGTCACATTAATTGTTTTGTCGTTTTGTAACCTTTTAAGTTATAACTGGATTTTTATCTTTTCATTACATCACAATAATGTCACACCTCAAAATAATTATCTTTGAAATCAGCCATTACACAGAGAATATCTGTTTAAATTACCTGTAATATGTTTGGTCTAAATCGTAGCCAATAGTTTATTATTACACAAAAATGTTGTAAAATGGTTAACTGTCGTGATCTGGTAAGATACTGGGAACGTTAAAAGATCAGAACGAGCGATAACTACAATCTGTTCAATTTTTAAGCAAACAGTCTATCATTGTCAATATTCACATATTCTTATCATCAGTTTTAGAGGTCACCATTACAAACTTATCTTGATAACTTTTTTAAATATTCATTAAAGTCTGTTTATCAGATTACACATTAGCATATTCATAGAAGGCTGTCATTTTTGTATTGGCGTGAAAATGTATGTTGGTGATACTAAGGCTGATAAGAGTACGTAGTGACAATGGTATATTACTGTTAATAGATATGAAATTAGGATACACAAAATGTAAATGGTCTTTAGACGATTTTCTTTTTCGTATCATTAAAAAACCCTATAGGATTCTTTACAGATCATTAGAATACATTAAACTCGGGTTGGAATGCTTCCATTAATGTTTGTTTTAGGGGATCCTTTTTAATATTGCCCTTTCCCGTCGTTATCTTACCTTATTTGCATGGTTACTTTATGTATGATAAATAAAATCAAACATGCCATATGGTAGCCCGGATGAAGAATTGTTACAAACTCTTCACAAAAAGTACATTTATTTTTTTATAAAATCGTGAATACATCTTTTTATTACATACTTACTAATAAATACGGGTTTTTTGTATATGCGATACGACACAATTGCTCTAACCCATATCAGCCCTCGCCGTATCACACCCCAAAATCCGTATCAGCCCCGCCGTATCACACTCCAAAACCCGTCTCAGCCCGCCAAACCCATATCACAACCCTTTTGGATTGTTTTTCGTTTTTCAATATTCCAAAAATAAAAATAAATCGTAAGATTTATAGTAGTTTTTATTAGTAAGTATGTAATAATTAGACGTTATTATATGACCATTGTGATATCATATCCCTTATCAGCCCGAGAGTCCCGATATCAGCCCGTAATATCTGAGCTGATATCGGGACTCTCGGGCTGATAAGGGATATGATATTAAAATGGTCATATAATAAACTTTTTATCATATGTTCAAGTAACAAAAAATCAAGTGAACAGGAAAAACAATTAGATAATTTAATCAACAATGTCAACTGAAACAGATTATTACAAGATGATATTCAGTCAATTCTGAATAAATATCGTTTCAAATCGCTGCTGTCAATAATTATTAGTCCGACTACTGCTATAGTATTCATTGCAGATGAAATGCCATGATTTATTCATTATCCGAGTCCGTTATGACATTCACTCTCCTTTTCTGTAAAGGAGTAGGCCCAGGGTTAAAATTGATTGTGAATGAACCGCCGTGTGCCGTCTGCCTTGCACACATTCAGAAAGAATCGGGCCAAATAATTACCCAAATCCACTGGGGAGATTGCTTCCAGGTTTCGTAACTCTTCAACAGAGGCAAGAACAGATCTGATCAGTCGGACGTCCGACTCCGTTTTTCTATGAGTGTTTGTGCTTTTGACGAAGTTCTCCGTGTCCTCGTCACAACCGAACCTAACCTCCGCATTTTCCTTATCTATGAGGTCACCCAATTCAAGTATTCTAGACGCTAGAGAATTAAGCATTTCCTCTCCCTGGTTTGTTGACATTTTGTTTGTTGACGTCTGCTCAACACACTGTCTAAGCGCCAATAATTAACCGTAATCATCTGAGTGTTTGACGTAGGGGCATTATTCACGCACAGGGGCACGTTAACTGAAACGAGGCGACAAGACTCTCATTAAACAAGGTTAATCCATGACGTCATTAGTAACCACGTGATATGTCCCGAGAGGTTTTGATTTCAACCTCAAATGAAATGCATTTCTGCTGGTATTGTTCAAATAGTGGGTTGCAGCGCAAAATGTAAATATATGTATATAAAGAAAAAACAAATACCCATGAAAATAATATCAAAACTACATGTTACGTTGCAAAGTTTTAGATAACGACTTGGTTTAGACATATTTTATCGAAAACTTGACAACATAAGAAATGGACACAGATTACAATAACAATACAAATGTCTTTTCTTAAAACTCATTGGTTTAATTTGTATTTTTTCAAGTAATGAAATACATGGTATCAATAATACAAATCACATTAGCAAACATGATGAGGAATTAGAAAAGCAGAGTGTTTTGAATAGTGGACAGTGTTACTAGTGCCGTCTGTGTCGTAGAAGATCACTACCACGATCTCAAATTAAATATCTTCAAGCTATGCTCTCTCTCTCTCTCTCTCTCTCTCTCTCTCTCTCTCTCTCTCTCTCTCTCTCTCTCTTTCTCTCTCTCTCTTAATTAATTTAAAAATTGCCATCTTGTATATATAATATCAATATGTTATAGGGAAAGGGCTTTACATAAGTTGGACAACTTGTGCCCAACCCTTTTGTATATTAGATGCAAATAAAAATATGTTTAAATCAAATGATGAGGAAACAAGTAATGTGTACTTATACAAATCCTTCTCACCTTTCTAACAAGCTAGTAGCCTTGTAGATTACTTACAACTGCTTACACTACAGGTACATGCAAACAAATGACAAAAAAGAATAGCACGTGGTAAGGGACATGTTACGAGAGATATATTGAAACTATAACTGTGTAAGTGGTACTTGTGCAGTCATTTCTGCTTTGACACACAATAAATATATGTGTCGGTTATTTCATCCGCAACATTGGTTACGTAATATCAATGAATAAGTCCGACAAACACAGCCTGACATCACCAATACCATTATTTACAAGATCTACCATTGTTTCCATGATATCTGGCGCATAGAAATAGTTTTTCCTTTTATCCCTGTTATATAGTTTCGTATTGGCGGTGAGAAAATGATTTTTTTATCATGTGTCTTTAATGACGACACAAAAATAATTAAATAAATTAACAATTAGAGGCAGACAGTTAGAAAGTTCGGGTTCACTCACGGAAGTCATGGTAACATGGATTTTTCAAAGAGAATGTTTTCTCTTGTCAAAACAATTCCAACAATTCGAGTTGATCATTGGACTGCCTATCTTGTATCTATACATATATCTATACGTTTGTAAATTTATTTTGGAAAAGGCTATAGTACATATGTAAGTTGTGGTACATTGTCCCCAACATATTTATAATAAATGTGGTTAATCATAGAACTATCATATTTACGGCTGATATAGTATCAGTGAAGTTGTGCTATGGAAAGAACATTCCCTTGGAAGAAAAATATAACTGCCCTTGAATTAGAACAAAATACATATCCAGCACAAACGCAGGTGTTCACAAAAGAGGATATAATTTATTAGCAAGGTGGCATGAGGCTGGTAGTGAATGCCTGATAAGGCAATTCCTGCACAATCATCAAATTGTATTTATATTGATGCTATAAAATGGACATTAATGTATTGAAAAGCACCTTAGAGTGGTCAATTCTAGCAGTTTAGGGCGTTATATCGGATGTAATGAAT